GGGGGGGGGCAGAGAGAGGGTGACACTCGTGGCCGTATGTGCGGTACATATTGTGTTTGGTGTCTTTTTGGCTTCTAGAAGAGCACAGATGACACCGGTGCACCTGCATAGCTACTCCTTGTCTTGGTTGCTCCCAAAAATTTGATATCCTTGCCCCTTTTTTTTTCGAAGTTGAACCTGAACCTTGTCCTTTTTTCCCTTCTGCGTCACGTTCATACGTATTTTCATGTTGGAGTTCGGGAGGGAAAAATCGCGATCATGCAAAGGTAGAGACTTATTTTGTGCTTCTACCTCGTACTGTTCTGTGAAAGAAGGAAAACGAAGCTTTCGGTAAAAACGTCCTGATTTTTTCATTTCGCTAGGAAGAAACCCATTTATCTCCCCGTCCTGCTCGCGTTCCGTCCTCTCGAGGACGCATGGTCAATGGCCTAGCAGCTAAGGCATACGAAACACGAGTACCCAACCCCCCCCCCTCCTCGCGTTCCACGAAAAAACAAAAAAACTTGAAGGTGCACGACGAGCAAGAGGACCGGCGCAAGGAGAGAGAGGCGGAGGCCAAGTCCGGCGGCATCGACGGTCTGGTGTTGATACCTCCCGCTGTGTCCGTGCGAACGCAGTGGCTGGTCACGACCGTATGGCGGGCGGAGTACCTGCCCGTCATGGACACGGGTCCCATTTTCACCCACGGGGGGGACTTCTACACCATGGTGTGTGTGTATGGTGTGTGTGCCCCGCCTAACTATTTTTTTGTGTTTTGTGCTCGTGGACGCGCGCGTCGTGCGATCAACTAGTACTTGATCAAGTTTTTTGTCGGGGGCCCGGCGAATTAGGTTGGTTTTTGTCTTCTGAGAAGGTAGACGTGCCTCTTAGCCTTGCTCAGCGGGGTCCCCTGCTCGCGAACGGACGTTGGGGGGGGGGGGCTGCTTCGACATCGCTTGTGCCTCGCCTATGCCGATTGACCTGACGCCCCCGACTTCCCCCCCCCCCCCCNTGTCCGGGGGTGCACCGGCGCAAACAAAGACCAAGAGCATGTACGGAACGCGTTCCTCCATGGCGCCAAATTGGAGAACCCAGCTGTGGGTGCCGGTGTCTATCCCGAGCATGTCGGGGTCGGTTAAGACGGTCGTCAAGGACCGGGACTCGATGACGGAGGACGAGGTACTGCGGTAGGGAGTACTCAGCCACGATCAGCAAGTGCGGTGTTGGAGATAATGGAGAGAGATGTTTTCGCGCATATTTGTTTTGGCTGCTGCTTCGTTCGTGCCCAGACTATGTACACTCGCTGCTGTTTTGTGTGTGCGCTGCTTTGCTTGTGTTCATGAGCTTATGATTGCTCCGTTGTTATCACCGCAGCCGGCACTAAGCCGCTATATCCGTTGTAAACATATTTCCTTTATCCCTTGCATTACATTCGTTGTACGCGCTTGATGTTATCTTCCGTTTCGGACGGGGGAACGACGACGACGGACGGCGGCAGACGGTGGCGTCTGTGAACTGCAAGCTCAAGGAGATCGAGGGCCTGCCGGACAGGCGGCACGGGCCGCGGTGGTTCCCGCTCTACGGAGCTCCCCTCGTCATCCCGACCAGCACCGACATCGCCGACATCGCCAAGAGGATGACCGCCAGCGAGGTACGTATGCTGTAACAGGCGCACGATTTTTTTGGGGGGGAGGATGCCACACGGGCGAGCGGAAGGTGGTACGCCGCCACTTTCACGGCGCGGAGCGACAACGTGCGCCACAAACAATGGTTGGCTGGTTGAGAGTTGCCTGTAGAGATCGTGGATGTGTTTTTTTTTTTCGCGGGTGGTGTACGTACGGTGGTCGTGGCGATTGACGGTCCATTGGTACGACGGGGTGCGGTGATGGTAGTGTCGTTGTAACGGCGCGGCGTCGGTACTGTACTAAATTTACAAGCGTTCGGTAGTACAGGTAGGACATGGTCACACATGAGCATGGGACATACCGCGGTCTCGTACCGCCCTCTTCGTGCCGGACCCCCCCCCCCTG